TTTCTTTTAATAATTTTTCTATTTCAGTTTTTAAATTTGGCCTGTGGCTTTCAGTTGTCAATTCATAGTGCATTGTATGCCTAATAACTGCATCTGATTCGAGTCCCTGCCCCTCCCTCTTCAACTTCCCTTGTGGCAGCCACATGCAAATCGAGCGCCCTGCAGAGCAGCATCCAGGTCTTCCTGACCTGCCATCATGGACAAAATTGTTGCCCACATTCTAAACTAGAAGCTTCACAGTACACTGAGACGATTACTGGAGATTAAAGGGACCAAACTTGAAACCTTCCAGTCTAGTCTCTTCACTGCAGGTCATTGTTGCATCCCAACAAAGCATCCACCTCCAGGACTGAAAAATGAAACATGGTGAGGTGCCAGAAAATGCAGTTCCTCTAATGTCCAATTGAGGCTGGCTCCAAGAGAGAGACAATCCCCATAGACCCCCATGTTAAAATGCCCAACTGTACAGCAGAAATAAACATGTTTACATCCTGGTAGAAAAAATGGTTTCATTTTCTACAGTTAATTTCACAGTTTATAACACTGTACAGAGGGTGATTTTTTTATGTCTCACCCATTTAAATGTTATTTAGGCTTAAGTTATATGTAATTATGGGCGTGGCTGCTTTGAGTGACAGGTGGATGTTTGTTTGTTGACAAGTCGCTCCCTCGCAAACAACATTGGTTAATTAATGTAACCATGGTGTAAACCCAGATACACAGAATATAGGTGAAGCCGTACCTGTTGCTATTTAAGTTTGTTTTTCAGTTTATGAAAGTTAATTGTCACATTTAAGTCACGTAGAGAAACTTCTGTTCAGTGTTTGTACTAAATGACCCTCTGAGGAGTTGGATGTTCAGTTTTTCGGTTAAGTACATTTTGTTTTGATGGTTTAAAGTCTGTTTTTCTCTAGCAAAAAATAGATTAGCATAATCACAGTTAATCATAGCTGTAACTGAACTGTGCAAACCAAGCTAGCAGCTAGTGTTAGGGTTATCTCCATCCTCTCATCCAAATCTGTCCCTTCCCACTGAGTTAAAAAAAAACAGAAACAACTTACTCTGTCTCCTTTAGGGCCAGGAGAGCCAATAGAACCAGGAGCGCCCTGCATTTAAAACATATGACATTACAAATGTACCTCAATGTTAAAAACAAAATGCTAAGATGGCTTGATGGAGCTGGCAAACAGAAAGGAATCTACAAAAACAGAATCATATGAGATGAAAAGTTATAAAATGGGAACCTGTGTACCAGGCTTTCCTTCTGGTCCCTCAATCCCAACTCTGCCTCTAAAACCCTGCAAGAATCCACACAAACAAATACACAAACATTGTTTAGTGTTAACAGGGGACCATCAGACTAAAAACCAGATGCCATTTTTTAGCATATTGTGTTTGTTCTTACCGGCATGCCAGGCAGACCAAAGGGGCCCTGGAGTCCTGTGCGACCCTATAAATATAGACATAAACAGAAAGACAATAAATAAAACAAACACTGTTATATAACAACACATAACTGCACAGCAAGAATCTGGTATTGATTAATTTTTAGATTTACAGTCCAGGTAATAATTACCTTTAGTCCTCTGGGTCCTAACTTTCCATTTTTTCCTGGGGTGCCTCTGCTGCCCTTGAATATGAATGAAAACAGACATTCATCTTTACATTATATAAAAGACTAGTCCATACCCATTGGTAGCTTTGTCACCTTCTACCTATGCCAATCCTCAATGCCTATGTGCAGTTTCACATAGATTGACCACATCAGTGAGTAGAAAAATGGGGACAGACAGAATGACTGACTGACAGAATGACACACTGACAGTTTCCGTGATTATGTACAGCATACCATACCATGACTTAGTCATACCAAAAATTAGAAAAAACAACAACATTGGGCCACAGGGGGAGCCACAGCTATCGGTCGCATTTTAGCCATTTTTAAGCATTTTTCTGTTGTTATAGCGCCACCCAGTTGCCAATTAGAGTTAAATTTCTCCAGTCACCCTGAGGCGTCCTGTTCTACATATCTACCAAGTTCAGTAAAAATCGATATGGCGGTTAGGCCTAGATAAGAAATTAGCTCTGTAGCGCACCCATTTTGTTTGATCGGGTCAATAATGGAGGAGTCCCCTCAGATTATGTGTGGTCATATGCCTACAAAGTTGAGATGTTATACACCTTTATGTGATGAGCCACGCCCTCCACAATATTCATTGCCTTATAGAAGCTCAGTTTTAGTAAGTTTTCCAAATTTTGCCAAAAGGGAACTTTAGATATTGGTCCCTAGATTATGTTCATCGAGTTTCATGCAGATCGGTCAAACTTCCTAGGAAGAGATCGATTTGAAGTGTTTTTCAAAAAATTCAAAATGGCGGAAAATCTATATAACTGGAAGTTATGGGTTCTTGAGGCAAATTTGTTCCTCATGAGGAGAGGCATCTCTGTGCAAAGTTTCATGTCTCTACAACATACGGGGTATGAAATATTCAAAGTTTGCAATTTCAATCGGTTGCTATAGCGCCCCCCTTTGGCCAAATGATGTAATATTGCTTCATTCGCATCCTCCCATGACCCTCTACCACTGTGCCAAATTTCACATGGATTGACCAAGTTAGTGAGGAGAAAAACGTGGAACAGACACACAGACACACCCACAGACAGCGTTTTCGTCATTATATAGTAAGATTATTCACCTCTTTTTAAAGCAAATCAAGATTTTGTAAAAGCACTGCAACAACTATGTGTATTTAGAAGTGGGATAGTCTTATATTTACTTTGAAAATCTAGTTAGAATTGTTGTGAATATGATTAGGTTATCTGTGCTGACCTTATTTACTACTATTTCAAGGTTATTTACAGCCTACATTTTCTTCTGCACTAATCAATATTTTGTATTAAAAATGGATCAAATGACTAAGTATAGGTGTAAGATGTCAGATGTAATGATGAACCCACAGAGAATTATCACCCAACTCAGCAGTCCCTCTCAGCTCTGCAGAGTTTTTAGCTTCTTTCAGATCTTTTGGGGAGCAACTTTACTGATTTGATTCAGTTTCAGAGTTCTCGTCAACACTGGCAGCAGTGGGCGGCAGTGTTCAGTAAAAAAGCTCTGATAAACCAACTGAACACTACCTGGCCAGCAAGAGACCAACCAACTTCCATTTATCAGGTGAACAAAAAAATTACTCCAAATGAATGGTAAAATATTAGCTTGTTGTCACTCTCATGTGTCGGTTGTGTTTAAAACTGAGAGCGTAAAATCTTTTGTTTATGCTGCATTTGCCTGAACTTTCTATGTCCATTGTATCTGGCACTAAGCGCTTCATTCTGCATGGCTTTCTCACTCCCAAAACAGCCTCATTATGCCTAAGAATGTATCTCCTATACAGATGATATCATGATATCGACTTTGTTATTTGGCCAATGTTGAGTGTAATGCAATGCAACAAAAGTGTTTGTAGACATTAAGTTGTGACAGATTCGGCTCTGGTTGATTAGTTTTACTAGCAGGCAGCAATAAAAGCCTCTGACCTTTGGCCCCTGTTTCCCAACCACTCCAGCACTACCAGCCTCCCCATCTTCACCCTGAGGAGACATGACAGAGGATCTCATTAGAATTATGGAACATGCTCTATATATGTATAAAAGGTCCTTAGTATATTTACAAGCAAAAATAAGGCAACAAACATGTTTTAAATTCCATACAGTCACTACAGGCCCACTATCAGAAAAAGTGTTACACAAATTTAATATGTATTATTTTGAATAAGATTAGACCTGCTATTAAGCTTGAAGGTTCACTCTGGACCTCAGAAATAGTAGTTTGTCAAAAAAGTAAAAGAAAATAAAGCCTTAAATCAAATGTCTAAATTTCTTCTGAGGCTTTCATTCCATCTCATGACCCTCATCAGTAGATGGAGAGATACAGAGGGAGGAGCAGATGGCAAGGATGACTGAGGCCATGAGATGTTGCTAAAAGTTGCAGACAGAATCTAGCAAGTGGTCCTTGAGTTATTTTTTTGTCTAACTCAACATGCAATATTTTGTGCATCTTAAATTAATGGGAATCTATTCAAGCACATTTCACAATACAGTTAACTAGTCACAGATGTGCTGCTGTCCTGCCAAATTTATGAATTAACAGGACAACTAATTACAGGCATAGCTCATCAAAATGTCACCATAAATAATTAAGAAATATAGCACAGCTATTTTAAGAATGGATTTCATGGGCTCAGGACATGTTTTGACATTTAGTTTGGGAAGTTCATTTTCTACTGACAAACTAACAGAAACCCTTAAACTGATTTTTCTCTGCCAAAGCAACACGAGTGTCAATCGTGTCAGTGCAGTGTTGGGATGTTTTAAACCAAAACACAGGACATTTCTGATGATATCCTGAGCTGCACCTGTTTTCCTCTGGGCCCAGGTTGACCTCTCACCCCTAGAAGACCTGAGGTGCCACGTTCACCCCTCTCTCCCTGAGGACCGTGGATCCCTGCAGCACCTGGTGGGCCCTATAGGGGAGCAGAGGGTTAGAATGTGTAGTCCTTACAAGGATGCTGTATGGGGGTTGGGGGGCATGCAGTCTTAATATCACTGATGTAAGACAGAGGCCACTGGCTATCTCCTTTTGTTCACTGTCATTATACACAAAACAAAAAAGTAAACAATTTCTAAAGGTTCCACTTGGCTATGTGCACTTTTTAAATGTTGAATTACAGATAGGTTATTCTACTTAAATATATTTTTGCATCTCTAATGATATCCATCCTCTTCCATTAATGGTGATCCAAGTTTACCCTAGCACGACAATCTTAATTCTTGAGAATCGAGGAACCTTGAGGGTTATCAAGGTTTCATTCATCAACTTTTGTTACAGGAGTTGCTTAATCTATGAAATGCTTTAAATTACACATCAGACTGCAACCATGCTTTTCAGTTTAACCACGAACAACTGAATTTAATTTCATTTTATATTTCATCACCAATGTGTCTTCCTCTTACTCTGTCTCCTTTGGGTCCAGTGTCTCCTTTGTCACCATCCAGTCCTCTGAAGCCCTAGACAAACATGACATTATATTTTACTTTTAATATTGTTTATGATGTGTCTCTCTCTCTACCTGTTGCTTGTAGAGCTCATCTTGACAGCTGTACTTTTAGATACGGTCCTCCCCTCTATTAAATATGAAAGGAGGCCCCCACATGCTTGAGCTTTACACTGCTGACTTGTATAATCAGAACAGACATGTCCTGTGATTTTCAGTCATTCCCTCTATGATTATATTTACCCTTTACAGCAGGCACATCCTGACAGCTGAGAATATTACTGTCAAGTATTGTCCACCCCTCTATTAAATATGAAAGGAGGCTGAAAATCACAGGACATGTCTGTTCTGATGATACAAGTCAGTGGTCCTGAAATGTGTGTTTCTCTTCTATAATTAAGAGGTCCTGATGTTGGACTGCAGCCTTGTGCCTATGACCAAATCACAGCAGTGATGATATACAGTAGAACATCACTCCCTCTCATGTGATATTGCTTAATTCTACATGTCGGAGGCAACGTCTTTCCACATACGGGCTTCCTTCGCCTTTCAAACGGGGCAGAGCTCCGTGGGAAACAGTAGGAGAGACACAGCCTGAGGGGGAACAGGGATCTGACACAACACCGGAGGGAGAAGCAGGTCCTTGGAGCTGTGCACTGGACGAAAAAACAAGCGCGTCGCACAGAATGTGCGCCGCTACGGCGTCGCTTTGGGCTGTGAGCACGCATGACGCGTGTCTACATTGAAAGTTAAGGGTTTGTGCGTGAAAAAGACGCTACATCTGAACGCCCCCCATTCACACACACGTCAGGGTGCGCCTGCCAAAAAAAAAAAAAAAAAGAGCTGCCAGCGGAGGCGGCCCAGGAACAGATGTAGCAGCATACGTGATACCCAGCGCCATGACTGAACACTGGCCTCGCGGCCCAAACGTCAGACCAGCCCACCGGGAATTGTCCCGGTCCTCCCAGTTAGCCACTCCAGGCCTGCTCATGTGTCCTGGGCCACACTGAAGAACCGCCTACTTAGCTGATGTCCTTGCTTATCCGACTCCCTGCTAGATAAGCAAACTTTCTGTTGGGGGCCACACACACGCCATGTTTTTTGTGTCAGGTGCACTCATACACCAGAGTGATGCATGCGTTCCCGAGCACCTATTTAAACAGCTTTTGCAACGCAGCAGCGTGCACCGCATGTCATGTGACTAGGATCAGCTCATCACAGCTGACAGATATCTTACCGTTTATCTGTAAATATCAGTCTGTGATAAATATGGAGAAGAAGTTGATCATTTTAGTGCAGAGCTGCCAGAGCTTTACATCTGTCCCACGGACAACAGGCCTACACACAAACAGTGCCTGGAAGAAGATCAGCTCTGCACTCAGGATTTCAGGTCCATATGTTATGATATGGTGCTTGTTGAGGTTGCTTAGCAACCTCAGATGCAACCTGCCACCACACTCCTGAAAGCTGTTACAGAAAAGGCACAAGAGTAGCACCCAGCGCCTGACCTCACATTTTCCAGGCGGTTAAAGATGCGGTTTGTGTACCGCCTCTTACACGGGTTAAATAGCAGCACTGAAGGACCTTCCCTTCTCATGGAAAACGGTCAGTCAAAGTCTGTCTGGTTAGCAAGAGCTGAGACAGCAGCAGCAGTCTCAACTAACTCACGCCAGCACTAAAATGGCTCTACTCTGTCGTTAACACGTTAATAAACTTTAGATAATATTGTGTATGGGCTAACTCTCACCAGCTGCCCCCCCCCCCCCCCCCCCCCCCCCCCCCCCCCCCCAAGAAGTAGTCTCCTAGCTTGTGTATAATTAACAAAAAATAACAGCACATTTGGTCTTTGCAAACAAATGATGTCCAGGATTTTTACATATAGAGTGGGAAAGTGAGATCCAATCATAAGTGCTCATTCAAGACGCATATGGAGAAACATTCTCATGCCAGGTGTGAACAGACAGACTTAGAGCTATCCATGAAGGATCACCCAGGATGCATGCTAAAACCAGGTGTAGCAGGCTTTAACCTCTTTCCCTCTTCCTCCCAGGCCTCCACCAGCTGGTCTGATTAAGGTTTTGTGTTTTTGTTTGCAACACTCACACCCTACATCCATAAGCTGCATTTATTACTGACCTACCTGATTAACATAATTATTGTTATTTTACCTTGAGTTTACAATGAACATAATTTGGTTTAAGTTTATTTCATGTGTGATTCTCTTTTTGTCACTGACTTTTAGGTCAGTTCATTAAATCCAACTGACTCAAATCTCTTTCACTTCAACTTGTCTCTAAATATCTTAAAAATATTAAAAAATTAAAAAGACGCAGCTTTCACTTTAAGCCACATTAATCAATACTCTATATCAAGACAGAATATACTGACATTGTGTGTAATGTGAAAGAGGTTCCTAATATAGACAAACCACAAATAAATTCTTGAGCTAATTTGCCTCTTATAGCTTATTGTTCCCTTTCTTAGCTCCTATAAATGCTGTTTCCAGCTGCAGACAGCTGGTCTTGGTAAAAAGCAATAATTAGAGAGCTAAATCCTAAATGTTAATGTTGACATTTAATTGAAAACAGAAGACTATGCTGCTTACTGCGCCACCTGGAAATCCTCTTGGACCAGGGCCTCCAGACATCCCCTAAAAGATCAAACAGAACAAAGGGAAAGGTTGAAATATGGACATGCCTGCATCAGAACAATGTAAAGATGGAAAATATCTGCTATCTTTAACATCACCATAGCTTGCTCACCATTTATAGCTATTGGAATTCAAATTGGGTCTGCTTTCCTTTGCTATCACGGCTCAAGACAACAGCTAACATTGTTTCTTAAATGTTAGCTGTCATGGCGCTTTGAGCAGAGCCATATTTGAACAATGAAGGGAGACAACAGCTGACAACTTAGCAGAAGACAGGAGGGGTAGGTTCCTGTGTATTAATCCAGAGATGGCTGCCTCAGATGTGAGCCACATGAGGGAGAGCATAACACTTCAGAAGCTCACACAGCATAACTCTCCACTCTCTTCATTCAATCAAAGGACCAAAATACGTAAGTTAAGATTGAAATACATCCAATTGTAGATTAATATGCTCACTAAACGTTACTTAATCATTCAGTACTTTCAGAGCTGTTGAAGTTACAACTCTAGTTGTTTTATTTGGGGAAAGGCAAACTCAATTTTAAAGTCCATCAAGATAAGTCTCTGGAAGGTTTCAGTATTTTCCAAGCAAATCTTAAGTCATCTCAAGTCAGGTCAGAGGAAGACTTAAGTCAGGTCTTAAGTAAATTGAGACAATCCCAAGTTTAAAGCCCAGTGTGCAGGATTAAGTGGTATCTAGCAGTGAGTTTGCAGATTGCAACCAACTGAATCTTCTCAGAAAATGCAAAAACACGAAAAAGTGAATGGCCCTATCTAGAGCCAGTATTTAGTTTGCCCATTGTGGGCTACCGTAGAGACACCGTGGTGGACTCCATGGGAGAGGACCCACACGGTATGTGGATATAAATGGCTCATTCTAAGAGAATGAAAACACAGTTTCAGATGATTATACACTATGAAAGCATAGTTATGAATGTTATATACACTTTCATTCCCATTGTCAAAGTCAAGTCTCACATCTTGTCAGAGGAAGACTCAATTCAAGTCTCAAGTCACTTGAGACACACCCAAGTCAAGTCTCCGGTCACTTGAGACACGCCCAAGTCAAGTCTTAAACCATGTCAGGTCTCAAGTCAGCTGAAGTCAGTTATGACATGTTCAAGTCTTCTTAAAAAAAACTTGCAAGACAGCCTTTCAGTCTCTGAATGCTGACTGCTAAAATTACATGTTGTTTGAACATTATACTTCCAAAGCCATGTTAATCATGTTTGAGACCTGTTTGAGTCTTTTCAATGCACAAGTCTAATAATTAAGTCTTGAGTCAAGTCTAGTTTGTATGGTGTCAAGTTTGAAGCAAATCACAGCAGTCAAGGCCAAGTCCCCATCTCCACATGGTCAACTACTCATGCAGCTACTTTTCTTGAACAAGGTTTTACTTGTTGAACACATGCAAGTTAATTACAGAAGATGCGTGAGCAATATACTGTATGTATCATGCACAGTTTAGTCTCTGAAAATAACAAATTAACATTAGAGATAATAAATTCATATTATTTACCATGGGCCCTTCAATGCCAGGTGATCCTTTTGGACCCATGGGCCCTATTTCACCCTGTCAAAGACAACAAGGGCCTCTGTATCAGTACAATAACAAATAAGGCTATTGGCAAAAAACAACTTTGAAGATTATTACATTAAAACTTACAATATCCCCTTTTGGACCAGGAGGGCCATCATCACCTCGCTGACCCTGAAAAACAACAACAAAAGAATAATAACTAGAGAATGAGTTGAGGAGGTTGAAGATCACTACATTCACTGCCAAAATTTTGAATAAAGTTGAAAATTTTCAAAAAGGAAAAACTCAGGTATAAAAGGTGTGCCATGACAACTTAATGACGACTAGCATTGTTTTCACCTTCTGTGTGTATGTGTGTGTGCAAAATGCGTTCCTGGTGACACCTATTGTAGCAGGACCTACCACAAAAGCTGTTTTAGTTTGCCAGGTGTTCATATGTCTGTTCATCTGTCTGTTGGCAAATTTTGTCAATGCGACACCATTGCAACAGTGTATGATGCAGTCACAAAACTTTACAGGTGTGTAATGAAGGCTGAGTTCAAAGATACATGCTGGAAGAAGGGGCTTAGGAAGCAGGACAGAGGACAGGACAGGCTCCCTCACTTTATGCCCCTGGCTAACTTTCATTTTAGTTGTGATTTGTTGTATCGTGGCTGGAGTGATCCCATCCTAAGATGGTTTCTAGTTAAAGGTATGAATTGAATCAACCCTTGCTTAAAGTGGGTGCGTGTATGTGCATCCATCAGACTCCTGTCGAAGACCATGGGCACTGTTTAAACAAACTAAAGCACACTTAAGTTAATGGCACAAGTACATTCAGGATGTGTCTAACCACTTTTGCTTGTGGTTGGCCAGGTGTGCCTGCAAAGTTGTAGTTATAAACTTAACATGGGAAAGAGAACTAAACTTTAGCTTCTGAAATGATCAATGAAATTACACTGCTCCTTGTGCATAAATACGCACACTGGCTGTCTTAATTAAGTGGGACAGCAGCTCTGCAGCTCTGCTCTGCTCTCTTCTATGTTCACATTTTAAAGAATGTCATTAATGTTTTCCTCATTAATGATATATTATTTCACCCACCTGCAACCCATCAGCATGTCCCTGTGTGTGCAACAAGCAGATTGTATACACATTGTGAACCAGCCTATGTAGGCGCATCTTACTGTCTGAATAATGCGCCCTTTAAATAACAGGTAAATACTGCACCATTGATTTTAGACCAGCTTTTTGTTGGTCAATGTCACAATTGCTTTCTGCTGCCTTAAAATAGCAATACACCAACAATGACCAATGACCTGTCCATACCTCACTTTAAGACCTATACACCAATGGACGCAAAGGTTTACGCAAGGACATTTGCTACTTACACAACATAGGCGCTGGCTGTAAAAAATGACAACTGCATCGGTCTGAAACTAGCAATGGCGGTTGCACTGCGCTGTGCGCCAGTTGTAGAACAGGGCCCCTTAACTTCTATTGCCTAAGTATTGATGTCATCAGAGAGAGGACATCATGACAGACATCCTGTGAGAATTAAAGGGATAGTGCACCCAAAAATGAAAATTCAGACATTATCTACTCACCCAAATGCCAACGGAGGCCCTGGTGAAGTTTTAGAGTGCTCACATCATCATATGAACTCTGTTTTTAGCCTCACTGTAGTCTGTAGCTCTGACTGCTTCTCTGTGCTCCAAGCTCACGTGTGCGTGCCTGCGTGAGACCACTACGGCTACGCAGAAGGCTCACCGTAGCCCCCGGCGTAGCCTGAGGTGCACCTCCCCAAAAATGTAACTACACGTCGAGGCGACGCAGACCCAGCGCAGACCGAGAGGGCTGTGATTGGTTTGCTTGGTAGCAACGCATTTCCGGTTCCATATTTGCAGATTTCACCATCCCCGCCATCTTTAAACATCTTCTGTTGCGAAGTAGATGTTGCAGTATTAAGGCCCATTTATGCTCAACGTTCAATACGGATACGGATATGGACGGAGCCGTCTGTCTGTGCTCCGCGTTCATTTCTCTGTGACCGGAAAAGCCGGAAGCTAAACAAAGAATCAACTAGAGACGCCTACCGCTCTGGCAGTGAATTGCACCGCGATGAAATGGAGTGACGGAGAAGTTCGAAGGGTTCACGACGGCGTCACGGCAACGACGTAGGTACGTCGTAGGTACGCCGCAGGACCATAAATCAGGCTTACAACTTCACCAGGGCCTCCGTCGGCATATGGGTGAGTAGATAATGGCTGAATTTTCATTTTTGGGTGCACTATCCCTTTAAAGTAGGTTAGAAAAGTCCCTTCTATTACTTCCCTCATGAAAATTTCATATTACATGGGAGCCCTGTCACTTTGAGGCTCTTAGCACCAAAATGTGCATGTCTGTTGCTTCGATAGCTACATTATGTGTGAGAGCACACATTTTTCTATATTTTGATGTGAAATTATGTATAAAAGAGTGAAAATAAAGGAAGTAATAACAAATTGAAGGAAAATAGTTAAGAAGAGTTTACATCTCACTCTACCATAAGTGAAATGTCACAATGAAAATCTGAGGACTGAAAATTGTATCAAACTGAAAACGCAAACATGTAAAAAGCATCAAGATAAGAAAAAATTGGATACAAAAAAAGCATCCTGACCCTATTAAAGTCTGAAGGAAGTTTTTAATTTAATTTAATTTAATTTTTATTTAAATTTTTTTTTAATTTTATATACTTTATTAATCCCAGAGGGGAAATTCAATTTTTCACTCTGTTGTCAATTACACACAGGTCCGAACACACACATGCACAAACTGGACCTATACATGCACTAAATGGAGAGATGTCAGAGTGGGCTGCCCATGACAGGCGCTCTGAGCGGTTGGGGGGTTCGGTGCTTTGCTCAGGGGCAACTCGGCAGTGCCCAGGAGGTGAACTGGCACCTCTCCAGCTACCAGTCCACGCTCCATATTTTTGGTCCGGATGGGGACTTGAACAGGCGACCCTCCGGTTCCCAACCCAAGTCCCTATGGACTGAGCTACTGCCGCCCCAAATGTGTGAATTATGTGAATGTATTAATGAGCAGATATAGTTTTAAAAATTCTTGAACATGTTTTAAATGTCAAATTTGATTTTCTATTCATTAATTTTAATTAAGAAAATTTCAAAGAAAAAAGTAAAAACTGCAATATCCCATTGCATAATTTCCCCTAAAACAATAGGAAAGTCTGCTTTTGGTCTATAAAACTCAAACAATCAATGTCATTATGGTGCAAGACATAACCTCAAGGCACTGGCTTTCCATCTCTACATAGAAACAAGGCAAGTGGATATTTAGTGGCTGGTGGGATTTTCACAAAGTCCTGGATGAGTTGTCTTAAAAGCCTGTAATACTCCCACTGGCACTATGCCATTCATTCATCCATTTTCATCAGCTTATCCAGGGCAGCACCCCAGTTGTAACTCTCCCTAGGAACACTTTCCAGCTCCTCTGGGGGACCCCAAGGTGTTCCCAGGCCAGATGTGATATATAATCCCTGCGGCACGTTCTGGGTCTACCCCAGGGCCTCCTACCAGTGGGATGTGCCCAGAGTACCTCTAAATCCTGATCAGATGCCTGAACCATCTCAACTGACGCCTTTCGACACAAAGGAGCAGCGGCTCTACTCCAAGCTCCCTCTGGACGTCTGCGCCCTCAGCCTGTCCCTAAGGCTGAGCCCAGCCACCCCACAGAGGAAACTCGTATGGCGGCTTGTATCTGCAATCTCATTCTTTCGAGCACTACCCAAAGCTCATGACCATAGGTGAGGGTTGTGGCATAGATAGACCAGTAAATCGAAAGCTTCACCTTCCGGCTCAGGACCCTCTTCACGACAGACCAGCACCATGTCCGCATCACTGCAGATGCCGCATCAATCCATCTATCACATGCTCCATTCTATCCTCACTCGTCAATAAGGCCCAAAGATACTGCAACTCCCTTGCTTTAGGCAGTAATTCCGAGGAGGCAATCCACTGTTTTCCAGCAGAGAACCATGGCCTCAGATTTGGAGGTGCTGACTCTCATCCCAACCACTTCACACTCGGTTGCAAACTGGCCAAGTGCCTTCTGGAAGTCATGGTGTAATGAAGCCAACAAGACCACATCATCTGCTAAAAGCAGAGACGCAATTCTAAGGGTCCCCATTTCGGACTCCTTCCGAAAGGAGCACCTTGTGATCCTGTCTATGAATAACACAGATAGAATCAGTGAAAAGGGACAACCCTGGTGGAGGCCAGTACCCACCAAGAATGTGTTTGACTCTATGCCAAGTATGTGGACGCAGCTCTCACTTTGGTCATACGGGGACTGAATGGCTCGTTGCAATGACCCGGTACCCCATACCTCCCCCCACAAGATTCCTTGAGGGAAGCAGTCATAAGCCTTCTCCAGGTACAGAAAGCACATGTAGACTGGATGGGTAAACTCCCACGACCCCTCCAGCAGCCCCACAAGGGTAACGAGCTGGTCCACTGTTCCACAACCAGGATGGAATCCACATTGCTCGTCCTGAATCTGAGAATGTCATTCTCTAATTAAATTTACCTGAGTCCCGTGAGGTCCAGGTGAGCCTGTCTCTCCTGCTAATCCTGGCAGCCCCTGTTAGAGATGCAGTAAGATTAAAAAATGACACCGCTGCATTGATTCTCCATCCATAGGTCTCTTATAGCACTGTAAATAAACCTAACAGGTGAATTGGAAACATACTGGAGGGCCTTTACGACCTCGTGGACCAGTTGGACCTCGATCCCCCTGTACAGGATAAAGAAAAAACACACTAAACACTTATACTTGTATTTTACCCTGCTGATTTAAACTGAAATGATTTAAAGGAACATGGGCAAGCCTCCCCAGATGAACTCACATCTGATCCATTCAGTCCGGGTGGTCCTAAACCGCCTGTTGCCCCTGCTGCACCCTAGAAAATTTTAACTGAAAATAAGTGTTTGTTGTCATCTCTTTACCAGCAGCAGGTAGCACTTGTATGAGCACTGCAAGGTAATAGAAACACTATTGCATTCCTCACCCCTGGTCCTGGAGGACCCTTTTCTCCTTCTTGTCCAGAGTCTCCCTGATTGAAAAAGATAGATGAACACAATAAGATCATTTCAGTGCGGGGGACAAAAACACAGTCAGAGCAGTACAGTATAACAAATGTCTTACCTTTGGCCCTGGCGGTCCAGGGAACCCCTGAATGCCTCTTTTACCTAATGAACCCTGATAAGCACAAAAAGCAGTCAGATTTCACATCGAGTCCTGTTAATCTATGTCATTGTTTTACCCATTAAAGTCATCATGAACTGATTTACACCACTGATTGACACAGCTTTTTAAAAGCCTGGATCTCATTTATTTTCTGTGTTTTATATGAATATCTTTAGGGTTTGGACTGTGGGTCAAACAAAAAAAGACTTTTGAAGGCATCCCATTCAGCTTAAAGACATTGTGAGACCAAGTTACACCTACCATACCAACAAAAACCATTATACTGGCTATAAAAATAGGTGGCTGGGTTACACAATAGATTGTGCACTAGTTAAACACAATGGGAGTGATTCAACGATTGGGGTTTCCTGTCCAACCAGAGTCGACCCTCATAAATTAACAGTGTGATTTATTGATAAGAGACGTAGGTAGTTAGCTGGTAGACCAGTTGGTAGTTAATTTAACAGAGTCCTGTTAGTGGGTCGGTCATTACAAACTCAAGCTGTGCAGTTAAACATTGGTCAAACAGATACAACTTTATCTGAAAGTCTAGTAAAGTGTCCAGCTCTACCAATTACGTCAAGCACGACATCATCAGGTTTTTTTTCTCAGCATAACTTCCCATGACAAGTAAACTGTGTAAAATCAGTGGAAAGCCCATTTAAGGCCCTGAAACACCAAGCCAGCAATAAGCAGTCGGTCAGTGTTTGGATGTTGGTGAGGGTCTGTCGCCCTAGTCGCTGAAGTGTGTCCCGCCCCATTGCTCTTCGTCAGCCCCTGTCTGCTTTTTTTTTTTTTTGGTCCAGTCGGCATGTTGAATTGGCTTTGGCTACGGCAACAGTAGAGCCCGTTGGTGTATGAAATCACTCTGATTGACACATTCAGCTCAATGCAAGGGAAGAAAAACGAAAGTGAGCGAAGTAAACAAAGAGCTAAAATCAAGCGGGAGTAAGATCGAAACAAACTAGTCACATAAGGTAAGATTACTTTTCTTTAGCTATTGAGCCCTTTAACAGAAACATTTCCTCATGGTTTTTGTTATATGGTCACAAACACATGGTAAATAGTCTTTGTTCTTTCAACACTGGATTGTGTTGTTAATGTGCTAACTGGCTAACTAGCATCAAACAGTCTTCCGGTTTCCCTTTCTGAATGAGGATTACAGACTACTGCCATTTGCTGGTGTAAAGAGTTATTTCATCTCACGCAGGTGCAGAATGTATGTGCTGGTTGGCCATCGGATGTAGTCTTTGCGGTGTGTTCATGTGCAACCCTTTGGCCGAGGCACAGGTGATGTGAAGTGACGCAACAGTTGGCTTTTATTGCCACTAGTTCCTTGAAGTAGTTTATGTGTCAGGGCCTTTAAAAAGTTTCAACTAGCTGTTAGTCTTACAGGAGGGCCAACAGGTCCATCTTCTCCTGGTTCCCCTTTATATCCCTGAAGGGCAGACAGACAGAGAAAAATCAATTGGTCCATGATATTTCATGTTACATGTCATTAAAATGTTGAAATGGTGAAACCATATTTTGTGTTGTTTAAAATGACTTTTTCTATGAAGTGAGATTAAAGTTAGATAGAAAAATGCAGCATGATGATTTTACCCAGGGATATAAAATGATCAACATATTCCCAATTTTGCATTTTTTATTGAGTATGAAGTATTTCATGCCAGATACAAAACACTGAATTATTGTTGCCTTGTGAGAAAATTTGATATACACACAGTAATGGAGTAGTAATAGTAGAAGTAGGTGTGGTAACAGCATATGCACTGGCAGTAATAGATTGAAATACTGCAGCTTCGGTTTAAGTAAGGGCCTATTTCCAGCCACTAGATGGTGATGTAGTCAAACTTCTCTGGCATCTGCAGCTCATCTGGAAGAACAGAGGATCACAGCAGAAGAGACTGATATTTATATAAATCAAATTTTTTATACTGACCTTTTCTCCAGCCCTCCCTCTGTCTCCACTTGGTCCAAGCCCACCGGGGAAACCCTGCAGTCCAGGACACAGACAAACCAAAACTTCATCCCTTGATGCAGGTTAAGTAAGCTCCGTAATACAAATATCATGAGCAAACATAATGAGCTCCAAAGTAGGAAGTTGTTGACTCTAAGCTCTGACTTAGTATCACTGAATCAAAGTAGTATACCAGGCTGTGTCTGAAATAATTTTATACTTTCCATTCAAATATATACTGTATTGTGTTCACCATTGTGTAGTGTGTCTAAATGTCTAGTAAAAATGTAATACACAACATAGAGGACTCAAAATCATCACTCAAAAAATATGTGACACATCATGCATTGCAGAGATATGGGGTACAGGAACATTTAGGTGGCTGCTGGATGAATGAACTTGGACTTGAGTCAGACTCGAGTCACAAACTTGATGACATGACAAAATCAAAAAAACAAAAACAAAACAACTGTAGCTTGACTTAGACTTTAACACCAATGACTCGTAAGTTCACTTGGACTTAAGAGTTTCGACTTGAAATAATGTGATACCTTCCAACAAACCTAAAGAATAAAAAGTATGTTATTTAAAAAGTTGTGTCAAAAATCATGTCATTTCCCTTTATTTCCCATACCAACTAACAACAACACTAGTCATTTCCAGTGAGTTGATGCTTAATTCTCCAGATCCACTTTGTCTGAACCAGTCTGAGAGCAACCATCAAAATGCAGGACAAAGAACTAAAGAATTTGATTTGGGACTTCCCTGTCTGACTCGGTTCTTGACTGCAGGGACTTGAGACTTACTTGTGACTTGCAAAACAATGACTTGGTCTCACCTCTGGTGAACAATGAAGTAGTGACTGGCTTTGGATATGCACAAGTCTTCAGGATACTACTGACTTACTGATAAATGTTTTCATTAATCAATGAGAAAACAAAGTCCAAATTAACTAGTACCCAAACATACACAGTGCAAAAAAATACACCTGGTAACAAGGTGGCTAAGTTACTGTTGAGTTGTTGTGATGTAAAGTAAAGTAAAAGTATATTAAAATGCCATATCACTAAATCAGTCCAGCCGATGTATCTGTTTGTATCTGCTGAATATGTATGGTATTGGGAAACAGTGCATATGCCCTTTACATACAAACTACGAGCATGCAGGATTTGGGTGCTTGTCATGTGAGGGGAGGGTTGTATAAATGATGAGTGGGTACAGCTCCAGAGAAAGCAGGTCCCTTCTGCTGTGTGACTGTGTCTTAGTGTATTGTTCTTCTTAACATACTGTACATTTACATGGTTGTTTTGGCTTGACCGTAACAGCTAGTCCAGCACTGTCAGGGCAAAAGTCCATGATTGAGTGAATGCTGCCACTTCCTGTTTCAAATTAAAAGTCATCTTTTCAAATTACAAGCTGTTTAGCATTTTCACATGGCCCAGCCTTACAGTGCTGGCCCGTGGCATAGGCAGTACAGGCAAATGCTAAGGGTGCCTTCATCCATAGGGGGTGCCACAAATAGGGGGAAGGGAAAAAAAAACAAAACATTGATCTTTTATTAATTTTTGCAAATACTACTTTACATTGGCGGCATGGTGTCGCAGTGGTTAGCACTGTCGCCTCACAGCAAGCAGGCTCTGGGTTCGAACTCAAGGATGGGAGAGCCCTTCTGAGCGGAATTTGCATGTTCTTCCCATGTCAGCGTGGGTTTTCTCTGGGTACTCCAGCATCTTCCCACAATCCAAAAACATGCAGGATAGGTTAATTGGTGATTCTAAATTGACCGTAGGTGTGAATGTGAGCATGAATGGTTATCTGTCTCTGTGCTAGCCCTGCAATAGTCCCCAGCTTGTTACACTTTATCTGCTCTGCAGGGGAGATGGGTGAGTTATTCAATATCATGTCTGATCTGTTGTACAGATTCCCTTTACTTAGCATTGTCTTTGCTATATAGATTTCTTAGATGAGCCTGGGGGACCACAGTCAACAGTTTACCAAGGACCAGCATTTCGTCTCTATGCTCAGACACTCACCTGATCACCTTTCTCCCCTGGTGAAGCCCCCTCTCCTTTAAATCCTCTGGGCCCCTGATGGAAAAAAAACAACTTAAAATGTAACCAAATGATGCAGACTTATCATGCGTGACACATTCTTTAAGTGTGAGCACTGGTAGTTCTCACCCGCAGCCCTGGTAGTCCTGGTGACCCACGACGTCCATCCAGTCCTTGGCTGCCACTCCTGCCCCACCTCCCTGTCTTGCCGGGGGCGCCCTTTGGCCCAAGGTAACCCTATTACACACATACAATCACTTGATATTAGGTCATCAGTTATGATGCAGCAACTGATGTTAGAGAAAGGTTTTTAAGTTTCAACATTTACCATGTCTCCTCTCTGTCCTGGTATCCCTCTTGTTCCTGGATTTCCAGGAATACCCTTAATGATGAATACATTTTAATAACAACCTTAAAAATACTTTCATTTATACAACTATGACAAGATAAATCAGGGTCAAAAGTGGGGAAGAAAAAGAGGACAGGCAAAAAAGGTGAAAGAAATAAAATCAAGGTCAACTTCATCATGCTAAATTACTTATGTAAGCCCAATGGATGTTAAACTCACTGGAGGGCCAGGTTTGCCCATTTCACCCATGGGTCCAGGTGGGCCAGGCTTCACCTTAAGAGTAACAGAAATATAAATCAGTGACTTACTCTGATTGAGTATCTTAGATCAAATCTAAAAGCTGAGCTACTCACTGGCCAGCCAGCTCTGAGCATCTGATAGAAGGCTGATGTCTGAAAAAAGAAGCAATCACAATTAGAATTGAAAATTATACAAGTATTGAGCCATTAATACAATGAATATGGTAAAGGTTATAACTGAAGGCACAGTAATCAAGGAAGTAAAAAATTTAGTCACTGAGACAGTTTAAAGTCTCAGTGTGTAGGATTTAGTGACATCTGGTGGTAAGGTTGCAGATTGCAACCAACTTAAGCTTCTACTTGGTGTCAAGCATGATGTGTATTTCCTAGGATATCAAAGAAATGTTCTTCCCTGCATTGCCTTACTTCTTACCCCAACACTTAACAATCTCACTCCTCTTGCCTAAACCTAAACACCCCAACCAATGAAAGCAACAAGTACTGGCAAATTAAAGGGAGAGAAGGGCGGGTCATGTCTTTGCTAGGTAAAGCAAATTCACATGCCAAGAGTATTGGAAAAGTAAAGTGGCTGACATGAAATAGCCCCGTCTAGGTCCAGTGTTTGGTTTTTTCATTCTGGGCTACTGTAGAGGAACACGGTGGACCCTGACTCTGTGGACTCTAATGAAACCATAGTTCCATTAGAATATCATACCATTCCTGCCAATAGATCCTAAATGCTACACACTGGACCTTTAGCATTTTTGCATTTACTAGGATAGTGAAGGCATGACCCGCTCTACTGTCCCTCTGACTAGCTAGTACTCATTGAATTCATTGGTTGGGTTGGTGAGGTTTAGGCAAGAGGAGTGGGACTAGTTAGGGTAAGAATGTCAGGGTAAGCCAATCAGAGGCAGAATAAGGGTCTGTATACATACTGTGTCTTTATGCGCCTGGAAAACACAAAGTTGGGCACTTGGTGCTACTCTTGTGACTACTCAGTGCCAGATCTCATGGGCCTGGAGGCAGGCTGCATCTGAGGTTGCTGTACAAAAATGAAGCCAAAATATCCCAGATATGGCTGCTGTCATCCTGCCTTGGAGATGTCATTTTGGAGTCTGCAAAGTAGCAATCTCCGCAGTATTGAGTTTTCACCCATACATCTGTGCGACAGGCAGCACAATCGTGAGCACACCAGTGAGCATGCAAAGCTGTCAGTCATGACGTCAAACCCCGCTTTTATAGTATCAAATAACACTTGAACATACAGCACTGTGGTAAGAACTACCAAAAATGACAGAAACATCTTAAGGAGAAATGTATTTGATGTGTACTTTTAGTTTGACTCATGTCCTATCTGCTAGCCTTGAGGGGGAGGGGTTTATGACCTATACTGCAGCCAGCCACCAGGGGGCAATCCAGATGTTTTGGCTCTACTTTTGGGGAGCTGTCACATCATCCATCTTTATTATACTTCTATGGGTGGACTGACTGACGAACATTGGCAGCTCTGTAGCTGCATCACTAGCGTACGTAGTGCTGTTAAGGACACAGTTCACTTGAATTTTACTCTTTAAGGTTTGACTTGTGAAGATTATTTCCCATCAGAGACACTTCTGAGACCAGAATATTCTTTAAAGCAAAAATGGTGCAACTGTTGTCTCCATTGTCCATTGCAGGATGAGATGTTCTGTTCTTCTGTCTTATTTGATTTGAGCTAACAAGATGGATAAAATTATTTCCTGTTGCAAGTTTAAGTTCCTACATAAGGCAAACAGTACAGAACACTGTGCAGTATACATGCACTCAGAAGACAGCCATTCAAGTAGCACAGCTGAGAGCGAGCACACAGCTGCTTGAGCACTGCTGGTAGACTTGGCTCTCACCTTTCATGTCATGTAACACTTGTAACAGCCAAAAGACATGAGCATGTGACAAAGTGTTGAGAGGTCCATGCGGTGTGTCTTGTAGTGCTCTGATGGTTGTTAAGCGATACGGCACAAAGCTGAACTCTAAGAGTCAAGAGACATGCCGTAAACTCCAGCACACAGGAGTCCTTCTGGTTAATTACACCACCCAGCTCTGCTGCTCCAGGTCATATTTGTCTTGGCTACGGTGCTGCAGCAAGGGTATGAGTGGAGGCTGGCCAACCCTGTCAAGGTGAAGCTCAGACTGGCAGAGAGGTCTGGACCTCCCTTAAGTCTTACTGTGTCTCTGTGGATGGAGCAGTCAGAGCCTCCAGTGTACTCTGAGGGAGCGTCAACACTGAGGCCTTTCACACACAGCTCAACCCTGCGCATATAGTTGGTCAAAAGCAAAGCTCAAGGCCTGACCCAGGCATGAGATCTGGATGGGTTCCAGCTATAGCGCTTGGCAGATACTTCAGCTCTCATTACAGTCTGTGAGAGCACAGAGAGCTGTGGCCATCTAAATACACTGTTGACACACCAGGAGAGGATTACTCAGCCCTACATGAAATATATATAAAATCACTGCACAAACACTGTATGACTCATTTGATTCTCACATTTTCACAAAAAACTAAGGATAAATCTAGTTTATTACATCTTGGGTCTTATTTTTGTAGTTTGGGCCATGAGTTTTACTGTCATAAATTGCTGGTTCAACTTTGACCCATGACATTTACCATAGTTGTGCAGGCACAGTTCTCCTGTGCAGTGAAAGATTATGACTGATATTTTGGGTGCTTCACTTTCGGTTGTACCTTCAAATAAAGGGGTTTAGAAAATCTAGTAACAGGGTGCATATTCTGTTTTCTCTGATCGTGTGATTGCTCGTGCTTTTATTACTCCAGCTGGCACTGTCAGAGCGAGGTCACAATGCTCCCAGATCTCAAAAATGACTTTGCTGTATACCACATTATCATGACCAGTGGTAGTGGACCAATGATTTGAATTCAATGTAGGAGAGGATATATGAAAAAATATGGTGACTGATGTAAGGTGGTCAGTTTATGACTCAGAATTGTCATTAACAATCAGTTAAACTTGGGGCTTGTGGATGAAAATGAGTGTTGGAAATGTAGCAATGAAGCTGGTATTTTCTTCTCACTTACAGAACATTTAACAATTGGATTTACACAAACATGTGGCTCATCTCTTCCCTTTAAAGGGCGGATGTGTTTTTTATTATGCTTTTATCATTATTTTCAGGCAGTTCCTCAATTTTGGAACAAACATTGACTAGATTCAAGGATGAACTGATCAGATTTTGGTGGTCAAAGGTCATTGGTTGATGCGACCTCGCGTCCGTCTTATTCTCACTAGCACAATAACTTAGAGGATTAGATTTTAGTGGTCAAAAGTTACCGTGACCTCACAAAACATGTTTAGGGCCATAACTCAAAAATTCATACACTAATTATGACAGAATTTCTTTCAAATATCAAATAGGATAAAATGATTAAGTGATGAGATTTTACATCCAAAAGGTCAAAGGTCAACTCAACTGACATGATAATTTTCTGGTCATTATTCAATGCCCTAACTCAGGAACAGAAAGGGAGACATATGGTCAATTCTAGATTGGTGACACGAACCATGAAACTGAGCTGATTGTACAAATCTTCTTTGCTGTCTGGTTGAAAATGTGTGTGAAGCATCTATGTTTTAGAATTTGTAGTTTCTTTTGCAGCAGCATCCATATTTGAAGCACTGTCCTATGTTATGGCTACATATGAATCTTGGCAGACATGGAACTGCAACTTTACTGGTTGGCAGAGGCATACAACCACAAGAAAGTAATTCTAGTTTGTATATAAAATGTCTTATTATTGAGGCTGAATTTAGGACATAAAGCTTTTTATGGAGACATTAGCTGTAGTAAGTGGGAGCGTCAAAGCTGTGTCCAGTCTATAGACTGCTGCCACTGTGGCATTGGCATTCTGATGCTTATGGTTGCTATATTAACTAAACATGTTTTTCCAGTCACAGGAAGCTGCCTAGGAACACTGTGGTATTAAAACAGGGTGACATTAACAGTCAGGAATAGACAAAGTGTGGTGAGGACAGTGAGGACTGTGAGGACGCTGGTCTGAGAAAACCTCAAGAGAACAAATGAACTAAAAAGGACATTGAGCACTCTGTGCTGGTGGTGCTCGAGTGTGGTCCAAATCCTCATGGGTTCAGTACGGTTCCAGCTGGATTATGGTGTGGGTGTTTGCATTTAGATTTACCCTGAAAGCAGCCCAGTCCGCCTCAGTGTTCCTCCATAGGTAGAGAGTGGGAAGTCCTGGAGGTCCTGAAGGCCCTGGATCTCCTCTTCTTCCATCCAGACCTGGAATACCTTGAGAGCCCTTGAGGAAAAGTCCAAAGGATTTCCAGTAAGTCAAACACACATCACTTTAGGCAGCAGAAAAATGATAAAGATATCAACCTTTCACAGTTAAAGCAAAATTACCTTTACTAACTATTGACAATAAGCTGAGGTCCCAGCTGTGACACGACTGACCTTCAACACTGAAATGTGGTGGGAATTTTCTCAGTTGCTGTTTCAACATTAAAACAACATTTAATTCTGATGGTTGTAAAAAGGTTAGGAAAATTATCATAAATCAACATTGATATTTCAGACAGATCGGTTTCAATGTTAAAACAATTTTGCAACAATGTTTAAAGTTTATGAAACAACAGTGAAACAACATTTCAAAATCTACGTTGATTCACCTTTCAAATTCTGAACATAAGTCAGCAGGGATTTAGCCACGTTGATTTAACAGTGAATAAACATTAGAATGGCAGCTGGGATTCTGTCACTCCTCGATTGTTTTGCAGTAATTGTGATATAAGCTGGGACTCCCTTAAAAATGAGATTTCACAACTCAAAAGCTTTTGTCCTAATAAATAAATTTGAAATTTGAAACATCAATGTGCAAGACTGTCTTACTGGGGTGATTCAAATGAATTCTCATTCATTTGCTTGTTTGGTTCACTTTGTTTTAGCTGATGTTAAAACTGTTATTCAAAATCCTGATGACAATACAACTGGACTGAGACCACTTGAAAAAGTGGGCCAGGTTCAAAGGACATCTGCTACAGTTTGGTAACAGTGTAAAAGCAAAGCAGACTAAACAGGACTTTTTGAGAGGAGATAGGGGATTTAAGCTGGATTCAAAATCTAAACTACAATTATATCCACCTGCTCATCATGTGAAATGTCATAAAAGCTTTCCCAACTGATTTGTATGAGTAATGTAAATTATTACAACTGAACACTTGGTAACCGTGGTAACATATATGTGGGTCAGCATGAGAGCTGGGATTCTCCCTTGTGCATTAGAAAATAAAAATGGCTTAAAGCTGATGTCGGTAACTTTTTTAAAAATAACTTTTTGTCATACTGGCTCAGTCACTATATTCACACAGCACTGAAGGAGAGAGATCAACTGGGAAACAAATCATTCTCCTCCTCCTTGTAGTGCTTCTAACGGTATTACCAAACGTGAACAAAACAACCAGTCAGAGCCGAGGACTCTGTCACGGAGCTGTCAATTATGTCCACCACCACTGGTAAACTGGGGTCAAACAGCCCGTTCTCACTCCCAGCTCGTCAAATACTGTTGCTTTGTCAAGCATTTCAGTGTCAGATACAGATAGACAGAGGCACCTTTTGCAGCAGTATGATATGCATCAGACAGCGGCTATTTCTGACATCACCGGACAAAACCAAACTCGTCAAATACACTCTGTCGATGGACATTGGCATCAGAAACTGAAGACATCAGAAGACACTCTAGTGTTATGATACGCACTGAGCAGCAGCTTTCTCTGAATATTTTAAAAACAATACGATGTGCTAGTATTTGTAGCATGCTACACTAGTGACATCTGTCACATGATGTTACATTATCTTAGAAAGAACCGTACTTATGTTAAGCCAAACAATTTTATCTAAAAACTAACCAGGGACTTTTGTTGCCTAAACTTAAAGAAATAAACGTATGCATGAGCACATACAGTGAGCAGCAGCAGCAGCAGCAACCTGCTGTCCGATACCGTCGCAATGTGAAGACAGAAAAAGAGGGCTGAGCGGTGGCAGGGCACCTGTGTGAACACATCGTCTATGGTCATTTTGACTTGACCAGCAGACTTCACTACAAGCTGATTGCACCTGTAGCAACAGGTGACATGCTTTATGTTCTAAAAGCAGCCGCTGCCGATTTGACCAGCTGAGTCGCAGATGACATTTTTGGCCAGCTTGAATCGAGCTCAGACCAGCAGTTCACACCACGGCAACTTTTCTCTGCAATGTTCTAAAATGGTTTCTTCTTGTCACGAATCTTTGTTCTGAACTGGGCTTAAGAGGCATCAATTGAGACACAGTCCGTCCAAAACCAACACAGAAGGGCACTTAGTGCATCATATTTTGTGGTTAAGGAACACTGACAGTGGATTCTGTTACTGCATTACCTATTTCTCTCCTCAAATATTTTCAGAAACATATTTTAATGCACTGTTCAGCTGTAAAATGAGAGTTTCTACCTGGCTGCAATGTTCGAAACAATTGAGCCAAAAACTAAGCCCCTTCCACCGACCAGAGCAAACCTTCTCATTTTACAGCTAAACAGTACACTAAAATATGTTTCTGAAAACATCCGAGGTGAGAAATAGGCAATGCAGTAACAGATTCATATGTGACCAGTGCTGCCAGTGCTGCTCGTTTGACAGCCTGACCACAGTTCACGAGCAGTGATTGACATGACTCCTCAGCTCTGATCGGTTGTTTTCTTTGGGTCGCTGTAGATTCTAGCAAATGTCATTAAAAACACAAGGACAGGGAGATGGAACCTGGGGCCAATTGCACAAAATACATTGGGTTAAGATTTTCCTTTAAGTCCTAGTTAAGGTTTCCTTAAAATAAAATCGGTTGCACAAGCTTGTCTTGGCCTTATACTTAAGGAATCCCTAAACCATTGCACAAAAGACCTTAGCAACCAAAGCAAAGTTAAAAAAAAAAAAAAAAAAAATTAAGGTACCTCAGACTCTGTCCTAACTGCAACATGAGTTTGAACTAACACACCCCAAGAAGAGTGTAGTGCGACCAGGAGAACCCAATGGATACCCTTTTGATTTTGATTTGACTGAATCAATTTTCATTGCAATATCTCATTATAATTATCATTTTCTGTTTTCTGTATATGGGGATCCAATTTACTTTGTAGGATGTGCTTTCTATGATTGTGTTTCTCCAGAAGTATAATCTTGTCCTTCTTTGACCAATATTGTTTCCTTGTTTTCTTTACCTCTAAAAGACAACGTTGTGAGACGATAACAGGCATCACAACGTGAGTCCAAGCAAACAATCAATCTCCATGGAAGCTTTTATCGCTGTAAATGAGTCAACATTTTTCTTTAACTAAGGAAACCTTTTAAGGGATTCTGTGCCACTGTGTAAATCCCTCAGCTATGGAGGAATTAAGCCTTTAATGTCATACTTAAGAAGAAAACAAGAGTCCTTAACATTTTTTTCAGAGATTCAGCAAATTTAACATAAAGCTATTTTCATAAAAGTTACCAACTGTAACTTTATAGCAGAGGTGTGTTACGCTTGTGTGCACCTTTACATGTGAGTAAAAACTTAGCAGCAGCACACTAACTATACACACAAATACACACTATAGTAGGCCATCACCCTGTTTGTAGCTGTCTGTCATTATTAATGACATCCTATGAGGTCCTGTTGCAATGCCTACACGTAGTAGCAGTAAAACAGGGCCCTTTTCTATAAAGCAGGTTTTCAGAGTTAACAATATGGCGCAAACCTCAGGATCTGATTTTTACCTGTTATTTCCATAAACCTGCCTTGGCATGTCATGATTACATTTTCTATACGATAAACTAAACCCATGCACATCTTACCTTTTCACCTTTAAATCCAATAAAGCCTTCTCTTCCAGCACATCCCTGTAACAACAAAAAGACATTGAGCTATTTTTACCACATGTGTACATCTTTTTGGCAACCACTGGCAGGCCTTCTGTCTGGCATCATCTACAGTGTGATGATCTTACAAAGAAAAGGTCACATGGTCTCTTCAAGACCTTATTAATGCAATATGTTTTGAAAGCAATCTCCCTACCCTGCAATTTTACAAGTTGAATAAAAACCAGTATGAGTCAATTTCACGTGGGCTGATGCAACCACACTGTTTGCACAAAATAACCATAACCTCCACTTACAGCCAAAATATACGGCCATCAAAGAGAGGTAATTTGGGGAATTACATAAGCTGCTCTGCGGAAACTTGCTGTATTGAAAAAAGAAACAGTTTGTACCGCTGCTGATATTTTAGTACCACCAGAGACAAAAGCTATATCTGTGTTGGAGGTTTCCTAAAGTGATCTTGGAGGTTTCTTTAAAGAGTGGATCCCAGAGTGAGGTTTACAGCCCCTTTAGAGTTCTTAAAGAGGTTGAAAGATTACAAAAAAATAATTCAGACAGAAGTATGCTAAGTGCGATATGAAAAGGAAAATTATTATCAATGTCAGTGCTGCGTGGAGCAGGAAGAGAAGTCTGGTTAGCCTGATAAAGACTGGAAGCATCTATAAAAACAATGGCTTCCAAAACCTTTGGCCAAAGCACTCTGATTTACAAAATGCATCTGCATAAACACAGAAATTTGTGGATTAGAAGTTACACTCTGAAACGTTTATTTTTTTGGCAAACAACATAAATTTGCACATCGAGGTGTCCAGCTTCTGTACCATCAAGCCTGTGGAGACCTCTACCAAGGAGACTGCACTGAAGTGCACAGCAGAAGGATAAACTGAATACAACACAAAATGTTGTTTCCTTATTCTGCTTGACTGTGGGTTAAACAAATGAGATACATGTTAATTAGTGAGCTTTAAATGTGCTGGTAGCTGTTTCCCTCTGCTTCCTGTCTTTATGCTAAGCTAGGCTAACCCATAGACTGTATAAAATAATGGAGATAGCCACTGTGATGTCACTGATTGGTTGTTGACTCCTGTTCTGAAGCCTCAAGTCTGGCATTCTGGCCATCGCCATCTTGGATATTTGAAGTCAGAAATGGAGACTAAATCAACAGCAAAATAGTCATAATGGTTTAGGAACTCAGTTGTAGCCCCAGACTAATGTTTGTCTAATTAACTTCATCCTAGAGAGATGCTTACTCTTCTTCCCTGTGGTCCAGTTGGACCAGGAGCACCTTTGTAGATTCGGTACATTCTCCGGTCAGATCCAAAGACGATGTTCCCCGTTCCTGTTGCAGGTACAGACGGCAGTGAATCCATGTGCTTCAGACTGGAATGCTGCCCTTCCTTGTTTCTTAAAAGAGGGTAATAGCTGTTCGTCTCCCAGTGTCCCTTTGACACCACTGATGGTAACATGTTCTCATCCATCGGTAAAGTGACATTGGATATCTCCATTTGTGTCAGTGAATCAGGTGAAGTTACATCCGCTACAACATACACTGCTGTGTCTGCTGCACTTTTTTGGATGATATTTTCATCTAACATTTGGATGCTTGGAATGGATTCAATGCCATGAGCTCTTCTGTCTTCATTGTTAGTGGCCAACATGATGTGAGGTTCATCAACAAGTTCAAAGCCATGACTTTGGGCGGCAGCATCTTGACGGGTGGAGTCTATAGGGTCTCTCTCTGACAGGTGATCCTGAGAGGAGGGAAAGAAAAGAAACGGTTGTTTCTTCAACAGCATTATATGTGTAATTCTGGAAAACAGAAAGCAAAGAAGAGCAGGCTGATAATTAGACGCAGCAGTAGGAAGGTTGTATAACATCCCTTACATTCACTGTAATTAAAGACCTTGCTCTCTTCTCATTGACTCAGTGTCAGCATTGCCAAGAAAATCAAGTATAAGGACCCAGAATGTTCAGTAAATACTGAATGACTGTACAGTAAACTGTCTCTCTGTATTAAAGGGGAGACTATAAACAGAGGCAACGTGAGGACACACTCTACACACTTCCTCTGCCCATACTTTGACAAAATTGAATCGAACATTTAAACAAGGAACCCACCAGCTGAAAGTCCAGTGCTTCTGCCAGTCCACCCAATTTCATCTACAACTAGGTATCCCAACAAGCCCTGGTCAGATTGGCAAGCCACCTGCAAATTTATAGTCCACAGAGAACTGTTCCCAGCAGTGTTGTGCATAAATGCACTAAAAGAGTACGTTCATTAACCATCCTCATAGTTTTGGTGAATGTGAAAATGGATGCATCAGTTTGCAACTTATGAACTTGAACTTGAGCGTTGTTCACAACGCTTGGAACCACAGCACCCAGCATGCCGACACAATACACAACACAACACTGGCAGACAATGCCAATATTCATGTGAATATTTGAAGGACTTTTATGAACAAATCAGTAAGTTCAAGATTCCAATGGAAAAAAAAACTCACATTTACATGCAAATTGTGCCCACCAGGTCTGAAAAATTAGGCTAAATGTCAGCCACATTGGCTATAAATTTGAATTGACACATCGAGTTGAAGCATCTGACTAGTCTTAGGAAATATCTGCGAGTGAATGCTGATCACAAGATTTTATTTCATCATAAAGGTATAGTGTGTAATTCTGGACAAAGACAGTTGACTGCTGAGTACCCTTCCCAGGTCATTAGACAAGAACAACTCTTTGGGTTGGTGGGTTGGTCCAGGTTCCTATCCAGGCATTGGTATCTGATGACCTGGGAATGAGACTCAACAAACAACGCGCTTCCTTCAGAATGGCATACTGCACCTTTAAAAAAAAACAAAAGACTTAAATATTAACTAGTTCATTTTTTGGACTGTGAACTTAGTTAAAAAAAAAAGGTTAACAAAAAAACCCCTTTAACGGGGAAATAAATGGTAGAAACCTCAGGAAGAGCAACTGAGGAGGGATCCCTCTTCCAGGACGGACAGACGTGCAATAGATGTCGTACAGAACAGATCAGCATAATAAATTAACAGTAATCCGTATGACACAATGAGACAGAGAGAGAGAGAGAGACAGAGAGAGACAGAGAGAGAGAGAGAGAGAGAGAGAGACAGAGAGAAATGCAAGACAGACGGTAATGACAGTAGCTTACAACAACATTAATTAAAGTAATAATATTATAGTTATAGTTCTGGCTACTGTGGTACAATATGTTGAAAATATATATTAATATCTGGCAGTATACATGTGTGACAATAGTCATATGTGTATAATAACAGTAGAAGTATGACTAATGACTAATGATGGCAGCAGCAGCAGGAGGCATCTGGCAGGACCACGGCAGCAGCACAACCACACACGTCACGCTGTCCAGGCACCGCTGTGATATGAGTTAATCTGAGAGACAGTGGAGCACAAAGGCTCCGGAGAAGAAGCCGAGTTAGTGACATCCAGAATGGCCGAGTTAGCAAGATGCAGTAATAGAATACGAGAGAGAGAGAGAGAGAGAGAGAGAGAGAGAGAGAGAAGGAGAGAAGGTGCCCGGTGTATTATAGGGGGGTCCTCCGGCAGACTAGGCCTAAGTCAGCCTAACTAGGGGCTGGTACAGGGCAAGCCTGAGCCAGCCCTAACTATAAGCTTTATCAAAGAGGAAAGTCTTAAGTCTAGTCTTAAATGTGGAGACGGTGTCTGCCTCCCGGACCGTAACAGGAAGATGATTCCACAGGAGAGGAGCCTGATAGCTGAAGGCTCTGGCTCCTGATCTACTTTTGGAGACTTTAGGGACCACGAGTAACCCTGCGTTCTCAGAGCGCAGTGTTCTGGTGGGATAATATGGCACTATGAGCTCTCTAAGATATGACGGAGCTTGACCATTTAGAGCTTTATAAGTTAACAGTAGGATTTTAAATTCAATTCTGGATTTTACAGGGAGCCAGTGCAGAGAAGCTAAAACAGGAGAAATATGATCTCGTTTCTTAGTTCCTGTTAGTACACGTGCTGCTGCATTCTGAATTAGCTGGAGAGTTTTTAAGGACTTACTAGAGCTACCTGATAATAGAGAGTTACAGTAATCCAGCCTTGAGGTAACAAAAGCGTGGACCAATTTTTCTGCATCTTTTCGGGTCAGGATAGGCCTAATTTTCGCAATATTACGCAGATGAAAAAATGCAGTCCGTGAGGTTTGCTTTAAATGAGAATTAAAAGACAAATCTTGATCAAATATTACTCCGAGGTTTCTTACGGTAGTGCTAGAGGCCAGAGCAATGCCATCTAGAGAAACTATGTCATCAGATAAAGAGTCTCTGAGTTGTTTGGGGCCAAGAACAATAACTTCAGTTTTGTCTGAATTTAACATCAGGAAATTGGTGCTCATCCAATTTTTTATGTCTTTAAGGCAGTTATGGAGTTTAGTTAATTGATTACTTTCTTCTGGCTTCATCGATAAATACAACTGTGTATCATCCGCATAACAATGGAAATTTATAGAGTGATTTCTAATGATGTTACCTAAAGGAAGCATATATAGAGTAAATAGGATTGGTCCGAGCACAGAACCTTGCGGAACTCCAAAACAAACTTTGGTACGTAAGGATGATTCATTACGAACGTCAACAAATTGAAAACGATCAGATAAATAAGATTTAAACCAGCTTAGTGCTGAACCTTTTAGGCCAATTAAGTGATCCAGTCTCTGCAGTAGAATTTGATGGTCAATTGTGTCAAACGCCGCACTAAGATCTAATAAAACAAGAACAGAGACGAGTCCTTTGTCTGAAGCAATCAGAAGGTCATTTGTAATTTTAACTAGAGCTGTCTCAGTGCTATGATGCACTCTAAATCCTGACTGAAATTCCTCAAATAAATTATTATCCTGGAGAAAATCACACAGCTGGTCTGCGACTACTTTCTCAAGGATCTTTGACATAAAGGGAAGATTAGATATTGGTCTATAGTTGGCTAACACCTCTGGATCCAGGGTGGGCTTTTTTAGGAGAGGTTTAATTACAGCTACCTTAAAAGACTGTGGTACATAGCCTGTTAATAAGGATATATTGATCATATCTGAGTGTTAACTAAAGGTAAGACCTCCTTAAGTAGCCTAGTTGGGATGGGGTCCCAGATGATGAGCTCCATTTTAGATACTCCATGGGGAAAAAATTAAGAACTTTGCATGTATGATTTATGTGACAGCTTTTTAAAATCATCACATCACACATAATGTTGTAGAAAGTCAGGCACCATGCACAGGTGGTGATAAAACTCTGGAAATTGGCAGCATCATGACTTTCAAAGCAGGTTACTAATACAAGTCTGGAGCTGATAGACTTCAAAGACCACCTGAACAAAAATGAGAAGATAGTGATGTGCAGCTGAGTGGCATGAGGAGGAGGCAGAATACAGAGGCAGCACAGGCACAAATTCCCCTTATTCAGCAGCACACAATGCTCCTTTATCCTGGACAAGCTGCCATTGTTGCTGCAGCTCTCCCAGCCAGCAGACACTTGATCGCTCTGCACCTGAGCCTATTTGTCCAGGTAATCTTCCCCACGCTGCTCATCGCTATCGCTTTGACAGACTGGGACCACTGTCAAATCAAATCCTCAACCAACACTAGCATAAAGACTATGACCACACTAAAGTTGCAGAGATACTCTGCATTCAAAACTAAATACAGTGTCTCTTTAAAGCTTCCGTAGTGTGACATCAGGATCAGAATCCTGTTTCTTATTACAGAAGTCTTCATATAGGACACACATGCTTTGGTGTATTAGCGCATAGTAATGGTAGAAAATTAAATTGAAAATAAATGCAAGTATTGCAAAACTCGAAAAACATAAACATACAAGAAAATACCATAAAATATGAAACAATACTATAAAACATAGATAGCTGCAAGTGGGTATGATCAGGGTCCAAGTGGATTTTGGAGCATTTGACTACTTGTAACTTATTTAGCTGACAAGAAGAAAAACTCTTGACTTTCATTAAAATGATTCATTGTGGTCATCACCATATGCTGATGCTCTGTTGGGGATTATGAATCTACTTTCAGAAACATTTGATGTTGCTTACGACCTTGCGTGAAAACACGTTTCGCATAACCACATCAGTACTGAACTATTTCGTCATTCGGGATCTGGAATGCATCGCATGTCTTGTAACTTATACACAAATACCGCTATCATGTGAGAAGTGTCAAAACCTATCCTTAAAAAAACACAAAGATTCAGACCACAAGCAGGAGGGCAGACATGGAATTTGAAATGTCAATCTTTGCATTAACAGACAACCACCTTACCAATAAATTGCTGTGTACAAACATGAAAGATACCTGTGGACATGCTTAGAAGATTTTGACATGATGAAATAAATTAAGTACTGTTTATTTGAGTTGAACATGGATATTTGAGATTTATGATAGGGGTTTGGCAATTTGAGTTTGGAAATTGATAAAGTTGATCAGATACAGCAGTGTTTAAACCACAAGAGTTTACAACAGATGGGCAGAGGCAGGAGGATGCACATATTATCTGTACATCTATCCAGGTGCAGGTAGTTTTCCGATAACCTCATCAACACCGCCCACCGGCTCCAAGGCCAGGAAGCCAAGCCAGCCTCACAAGCAAAGGGCAGAGAGGGGGAGGTCACAAAACTTAAAATATTCAACAGTTTTAAACAACAATGTAACAGTTGAGGATACAGTTCTGGAAAAAAAATCTCCCATCAA